CAATGCATTTTAAAATATATTTTAGAGACATCGGTCTATCTAAAAATTTTAACGAAAGCACATAAACTAACGCCCTCACAAACATTACTATGAGGTCTCACAGTGCGCGTGGACGCACAGGGTGTCACACGAATTAATCACAGAGCTCTATTAAACTCTGTGCATTCGATTTGCTGCTTCACTTAAGCAAGCATCGTTTGTGAATACGGGTGTAAGGCTGGGTTGCACCATCTTATTTTCAAACTCTATATAAAAATCACCGGTTATCGTTAAAGTTACGGTCAAAGGTGGTGCAACTCGCCTAAGAGCTAGTAAATGCCAGACCTACGTTATTTTATAAAAGCTGAAATTATCAAATCAAATCAAAATCAAAATTCATTTATTTGCTTGATATGTCAGCGCATGTTCCCAAAATAGGTAAGAAAGTTTGGTGCATCATGAAGTTTGGGTCATCGTGGCTTTGGCAGCTACCCTAAAAGGATTATTAAGCAAGGGGTTGGGATGGTCAAAACTGATGATGATGAGGAAACAACTTCTAATTATTGTCCAAACAAATAAGTTTGTTTCAACAGTTCTTAGCACCAGCTTTTTTGTCCTGAAGTGATAGAATAATGCCCGTTTTCACCATCGAGCACTAATTTTTAAAAAGTGACCCCTATGAAAACAAAATTTCTGTTATGAGTTACGAGTACCATAGGGGTCACTTAAAAATTAGGAATTGATGGTGAAAACGGGCATAAGACATTTAGGACGTGTATAAGTGCCCTGAAAAAGTGCTTTAAACTATACAGGGTGTAAAAGGGGGGGTGGATCATCGTAAGTCAAACGATGGGGGACTTCAATACCTATCGATATAACCCCCATGTATGTTCCGCGATTTTCAATGGTTCCAAAGTTATTGAGATTTTTGTGAAATTTAAGTAAAAAGCCGGAATTCAGTATAAATATCTTCACTGTAGCTTAACTACTGGACCTGCTTGCATGATTTTTAACAACTTTGAATTATTTCTTAACTGGGTCAGTGTCTGAGATATGGGTGGGAGTCTTTCGTCTTATTAAGCTACAAGTAAAGTAATTCCAGCTTACACTGCTTACACACACAAAGTCTTAAAGTCTCAACTTACCCAACGCGTATGAATGTGTCAAAATATATTTGCTTTGCTATGCTAAAATATACATACTTTATGACCGTTTCTGAGTATGTTACGTTAATTTTAATAGCATATGCTTTGTTTAAATAATATGTTTACTAAAACAAGTAATTAAAGGCTGGAAGAAATTTCCAGTTGCTAAATAAGGTGACCTTGTAACCTTATTTAAAATTCATTTCTTTATGCAAATAGGCTTTAAAAAAGCACTTTTACACGTCCCAGTATTAACCCTACCACTGCTTCGGTACAATAAATGGGCCAGTGCTGCTCTTCTCAGCACTCAGCGCAAGAATCTCAGTCACTATTGTCAGCCTCCTTTTCAATGAATTACATATTTCATGAATTTTTGCCTAGTTTTTGGACTTGATGGCGCTGTTTAGGAATGTTTAGGCAATTTATTTATTTATACTAGTCTGTGCATAATATATCGACATTAAATAAGATTTTCCTAAAAAATAATCCTCTTGCCCAATAAATAACGAAACTTATGTATTCCAATCGTAGATAGCAAAACTGTCGTCACAAAATACACCTTATTACGATAGTGTCAAAGTCGATTTTGTGCGTGTTACTCGCCAAGTGACGTCATCCCGGATACCGAGTGGTTGAGTTATGTAAATTGTACAAAATAAACTTAAGATTTGTATAATTTTGTCGAATAACAATTCGCGGTAACGTAGTTTGATTTTATTGGTAAAACTTCAAACGCAATAGAATTCATTCAAAATCTCCATCCTAAACTAAATAAATACTATTCATTCATCATAATCATCAGGTCATTTAGCCTCCATTGCAGGAGCATGACCCCCTCTAATTGACCAGAGGCAAGAGGATTTGTCCTACACGCTGGCCAGACGGGTTGTGAGGCCAGCTGCTCGTATAATTATGACCTGTGGTGCCTTCAGGTTAGAATAGGACCAACCCCACTCTTCCCGTGGATGTCGTAAGAGGCGACTAAGGGACAAATATGCGACCATCAGGCCTCCCCAACCCGTCTGGCCAGCGTGGGGAGTGTAGGACAAATCCTCTTGCCTCTGGTCAATTAGAGACGTGCTCCTGCAGTGGAGACTAAATGACCTGATGATGATGAATTAAGAATATATGAACATTTAATCTCTTGTTTCCATGAACAATTCAAGAGTACCTACTATAATCTAAAGAGCTTTCTTTTTGAGGATAAAAATAAAACAATCTATAACTCAAAGGTGACTGACTGACTGACATAGTGATCTATCAACGCACAGCCCAAACCACTGGACGGATCGGGCTGAAATTTGGCATGCAGGTAGATGTTATGACGTAGGCATCCGCTAAGAAAGGATTTTACGAAACTCCACCCCTAAGGGGGTAAAACGGGATCCACGAGTACGAAGTCGCGGACGGTCGCTAGTTTTCCAATAAAACTGACCGAGAACTTACCAAATGCCACCACTTTTTACCGACTGACATACTTTTTAGTGTCAAAAAGTCAGATGTAAATTAGATTCAACTTTGCTAGTTCAGAATTTCGTAGATAATTATTATAATTCGGCGATATCAATTAAGTTACGTATTAAAATTGATACTAAAATGAATCATTCAAGAGATTTTGCGAAACAAAATACAACACTTTTATTTTCTTTCATGTCAAAAAAGGATATGAATTTAGCATAATGTATTTACAGTAGTTATAAATCAAAACGAAATTATAATTTGTATTAAATAAATTACTGTAATAATAGTCAATAAGTTGGTTATTGAATTAAATAAATGAGAATCATTGAAGGCTAGACATCATTCCAATTTTGCGAGACGACTACATGTCATATACCTGTACGTACTTATACGAGTATATACCTGTACGTACCTACATGGTGTTTCGAAACCTCATTGTTGAATCAATATTTACAATAATAATACAAAAGCTAAATACTCTTGAAACATGTTTAAATATATCGTATCGTATAATCAAACAATCCCGTATCAAAATTAGTACCTAATTACCTAATCCGAACCGAAACGAAAAATCATACATACCTACTCTTAATTTAATAAACGCACAAACTAGAATGTATGTACCTATAGCATGGTTTCCCAAACTATCAATCGCGAACTTTGAGTGGGCCCTGCTGGTAGAAAGTATTATATTTTAGGTAGGTATATTGGTAATGGTTAAATTTCCTATAGCTGGGTCCCGAGTTTGGGAACTTTTATTAGATGAGTCGTATAGCCCAGACAACTTTGGGAACCACAGACCTATTATAAATCGTCAATTAATATTCGCGCTTATTGCACTAACATTTGCTACCGCTACCATAGATGGCTTAATCTTCACAAGTTTTTTTTAGTGCTAAATATTGTAGATTAAATCTTTCATCTCAACTTCAAAGTATCGTCGAGCCATTTAGAACTAAAAAAACTCATAAAACTCATTTATTTTTGCAAAAAGGCTTTTAAAAAGCACTTTTACACGTCCCAATATTAACCCTACCACTGCTTCGGGACTAACCACCATCTTACCTAAGTCTGTCGCCATAACAACAATGTTAACAGCATTGTTGTGTTCCGGCAGTTAGAGGTAAGATAGCCAGTTCCTCCGTGGTTGCGGATTCCGGGTGAAGCTCGCTTCCACCTTCGGCCTGATCGTCACTTACCATCAGGTGAGATACAGACCAAGAGCTTCCTCGTTGTGGATAAAAAAAAAAAAAAAAAAAAAAGAATCGGCCAAATCGAATCGGCGTAGTGTGCGCACTCCCATACATGCCCATACTGATCAACTGCCCGACTAAACTATCGGCCGACGAAAAATCAACGGTGTGCGCCTACTCTAAAAATGTATGGCGTTTAGAGTCGCCTCTCGATCTTTTGTAAAATAACTTGGAAAAATCAAACTGTTTATGTGAGAATCGAATGCCTAAGGTGCAAATTGAAACCACGATGAGTCAGATGGAAGAGCAGTCGCCCGGCAAGCGAAAGGTCGTGGGTTCGATTCCCACTAAGCAGTTAGATTTTTCCAAGTTATTTAAAAACTAAGATATGTAAAACAAATGTGATTAACATAATAAATTGCATATTGTGTAAAGTTCCTCGAAGACAAATATTTAATATTAATTCACGAGCACACATTATTAATACAAAAATGTTTCAAAATATGTTTTTTCTCCTTGAACTGAGAAACGTCGTACAAAAGACTTCAACGAGCAAGTGACTTCCAAAAATTCATTTCATGTTAATTTTAGGTTATTGTTTATAAATATTTTGTTTAAATACTTTGAAATAATATAATACGTTAAGAGAATATACTTTTGGTCAAAATATTAACTGTAGTTTAAAGAAATTAGTTTTGAAACTTATTTGTAATATTGTGAAATTAATAAGCAATATGAACTGCGAATTATTTTTGATAGTTTTAATTGTATTTATTTGTATATTGAAAACAATCTTATATTATTTCAAAAAGCAGATGGCTAGACGTGATTTTTAGTCATGCGGCATAACTTTGACTTACGAGTACACTTTTTAAATTAAATTTAATAGTCCGCACACAGATTAACAAATAATTAAACGTATTGAATTAAACAAAGTACTATAATATGTTTAGTTAGTTTTATAATTATGTTATGTTTAAAAAATAAGTGCACTTATTTTAAAAACAATTTAAAATCTTTACGTATTATTTCAGAAGATTTATTTTCTCTAATTTGTATTTCTTCCTACTAATTTTAATTGCATAAATTTTTCCAAAATACGCACTTTCTAAAACGATTAAATTCCAAAAAAAATCCGCTGACTTATTTTCCCTAAATTAAAAATTCACTTTCATCAACCGTCACTGCACTAAATAAAATAAAATAAATAAAAATAACTCACATCGACTATAAGCACCACGTAGTCACTTCACTAGATCGCACCACGCACTGAAACTTGCGAGCCGAACGCGTTCGTATTTAAAATTTTCGTGACGTCACCGTTTTTCGAAACACCAACAAGTCTGTGTGACAACAAAACGCTGGAGGATGAGACAAGCGCTTATATAGCGAGGCAGGTTTGACCTCGCGCGAGCGTTTGGGAAAAAACCCCTGACTTTCGGGGAGGAAACTTCTTAATCATAGTTCAAAATTATGGTTCAACTTCCATGTCATCCCTTTGCAATGGAGGGAAGTCAAACTTCAATTTCGAACTCCTGTGTTCTTCTGATTAATTTCGTTGCGGGTCCAATGACAGTTTAACTGTCCCCCGGGACAAACTTGACCTTCACTGGTTGGGTTATTGGCGGTCAAGCTGTAGATCCTGGCTACACAGGAGTTGCAGCGGTGGGAACGAGACGTGGGAATATTCCCGATTCTTATTCATAATCATAGTCATCATCATCATTTCAGCCACAGGACGTCCACTGCTGAACATAGGCCTCCCCAATGCTTTCCATGTTGCCCGGTTGGTAGCGGCCTGCGTCCAGCGCCTTCCTGCTACCTTTATGATGTCGTCGGTCCATCTTATTTATGTTCGTTGATGTGGGAAAAGAAGAATAGAGTCGTGTAGCTTTGGAAATAACCTTTCGGGGATAATCTATTAAGAACGTTAAAGATGAAATTATGGTCAATTTATGTGATCTAGTCTTGAAGTGTGTTTAAATGTAAAACTCATAAAAGTTTTTGATTCTTCACTCAGTTTCAGTGTTAGGCTTTATTAAAGTGCCTTGGAGTATAGTTCGTTTCGTTTCAGCCAAATGACGTCCACTGCTGGACAAAGGCCTCCCCCAAGGTTTTCCACAATGAACGGTCCTGCGCTGCCCGCATCCAGGCTCTTCCCGCGACCTTTACCATCTTGGAGTATAGTACTTAGGGAATATAGTGACCTAAAATATAATTCTAAGAAATATCTCAAGAAACTTAGCCCCTTTTTTAAGGGTTTACGAGTACTATAATAGATATTGATGTGAGATAGGCAGTTTATAACATTCTAACATTTTCGTCTTTTAATATACCCTTATTTCCAAATTATTATATAGAAAACACACAAATTAATACAAACATTATGCCATGAAACCATAAAATCACCCTAGTCTGGAAGAGATTGCATCCTAGCGTTAAGACTGCCTAAATTGACATGAACTTTTCGTGATTCTGTCGATCTTTGTCATATTTTATATGGATATAAATTAATAAAGTATTGAATTGTAAAAAAAACTGAAAGAATATTTCAAAGGTTTTACGATAGCACTTTGATGTAGCTAGCGCCATCTAGTTTCGGTGGCCGTAAACAGTGAACAAAACTTGTTCTTACAACATGAAAACATAATAATGATCTTCTTTATTTATACTGAATACTGATTAATACCTGTAACCTAATATTTGGTGAAAGTAATTAAAATACGGTCCTGCGCTGCCCGCATCCAGGCTCTTCCCGCGACCTTTACCAGATCGTCGGTCCACCTAGTAGGAGGCCTGCCCACGCTACGTCTTCCAGCCCGTGGTCGCCACTCGAGAACTTTCCTGCCCCAACGGCCATCGTCTCTACGAGCGCAGGACCGTTCATTGTGGAAAACCTTGGGGGAGGCCTTTGTCCAGCAGTGGACGTCATTTGGCTGAAACGAACGAACGAACGAATTAAAATACATCTGGTGAAGGTCGCGGGTGCCTGGATGCGGGCAGCGCTGGACAGGTCGTTATGGAAATACTTGGGGGAGGCCTTTGTCCAGCAGTGGACGTCATTTGGCTGAAACGAACAAATCAAAAATATTTTTCTTTACATAGTACGTATAGGTAAACCAAAGTTACTCCCGCAGTCTCTGAGCTTAGATCTTATAAACACAGCACAGTACAAACATTTGTGTGCATGAACATATTTCTTTGTATTGGACTGGGTGTTTTCTATGTATAATAAGTATGTATTTACAAAAAAAAAAAGTATTTAAGTATGTTTATATCCGTTGTCTAGTACCCATAGTACAAGCTTTGCTTAGTTTGGGACTAGAAGCGCAGTGTAAAATGTCCAACGATATTTATTTATTTATAAACCATACGGATTGTAATGCAGTTTTCAGCAATAGAGAGAGTAATTCAAGAGGAAGGTTTTTAATAGTAATGTTTCCTGGGTAAAAAAGCAATAGTGGTGGGTACTAGTCCATCAAAAAATACTTGACACGTATTTTTCATTTTTTACAAGCTTTAATTGACTTCACTTGTTCAAACTATGTATTGAAAATTGAAAGAGATAAAGGGCGCCAAAGTTCAAAAGAACAGACCCGTGACGTCAAGGAGTGCTTAAAATTGTAGTTTGTGACGTCACGCGGAACTTGAACTCATCATAACTTCGTAATTACTTGTTTGATTGACACATCAAAAATCTCTATCCAATATTTTTTATAATGTAATTGACGGACTAAAGTGTAAATTCCAAAAAATGGTATAAAAAGATAGGTTACAGACAATTTCGTTCTATCTTTGTCAAATTAGTAGATTTCCTTATTAAATCATAAAACTTAACATTTAAAGAAACCAAATAGGTAGACAGTTTTTGGTCAAAAGCAATTGATTGATTTTCCTGTAATTTGTCAAAATAGATTTTACCCCAAGGTTTTACCTAAAAAGATAGGCATTTCAAATCGAGTCTTAGATCAATAGGTATCTTTCCAAATGAGCCTTTATTAGAGCTATTAAAACAAATTAAATAATCAACATCTTCCTCAAATTGAGCTGAACTAAGAATATCCTCTGGGAAATTTACTTAAGTACCTTCTCAACTGCCCACGCTACGTCTTCCCCGTGGTCGCCATTCGGGGACTTTCCTGCCCCAATGGCCATAGTCTCTACGAGCTATGTGCCCCGCCCACTGCTACTTGATGTTACTTTACTAGGTGGACCGACGATCTGGTAAAGGTCGCGGGAAGAGCCTGGATGCGAGCAGCGCAGGACCGTTCATTGTGGAAAACCTTGGGGTAGGTCTTTTTCTAGCAGTGGACGGCATTTGGCTGAAACGAACGAACGAAAGAACGAACGAAGCTATAAAAAACAACATTATTGTACCTACCTAATAGCTACGCCAGCGAACTTTGTACCGCCTATGTTCATCAGAAATAATTTAGGATTCTAATGGTGAAAGAATTTTCCAAATCGGTCCAGTAGTTTCGGAGCCTGTTATATATGTCACCGTAAAATTGTGAAAACCGTCAGATTATAATCTGACGTAGTTAAATTACAATCTAACCTAACCTAACCCACTGTTAGTTTACAATCTAACGCGTTATATTATAAACTGACAGAGTTCACAATTTCACGTTGACATATACAAACAAATAATGAAATCTTTCCTCTTTATAATAGTAGTGTAGATTTTAATCCAAGCAAACCAACATTAATTATCCTAATAAATTACATAGTACAGTCAAGTCAAATAATAACACCTAAAGTGGCCAAAATGTTGACACACAACCTTATTCCAATGAGGGCTATCGTTGTAGCGCTCACCAGTTAGCGCCACTGTAGAGTAAGGTCCTGTCACTTGCTAGTAGCGAAGACAGTGGCGCCAACTGGTGAGCGCTAAAGTGGTAGGAGGACTATCGCAATTGCACTCATCAAGATGGCGCCACTGTAGAGTAAGGTCCTGTCAATCGCCAGGGGTACCAACTGTTAAGTATAAAAACGATAGCCATCATTGTAACAAAGACGTGTTGCGAACTTTTTGGCTACTTTGGGTGTCACAAAGACGATGACTGGTTCATATCGAGTTTAATACTGTGGCATCTTATTGAATCGTATTAAATACTATTTTAGAACAACAATGGGTAGCTTGTTGTGCTGTGAACTATAAACATCCCGGATCCTGGGACTTCCAAGTCCAGTAAATATATGGTGGCCATTACTGACTCATTTCACATGACAAGTGAACTTTATTCTAAAGAATAAATTACTGAAGAGTCGGGCGGGTTGCACTACCATTCGATAAGTAACTCGTTCGTAACATTATTTAAAGTTTAACTAAATATACTACTTGCAGAGGTATTTGTAAAACAATATTTAAACGAGAAAATAACTAGCTGTTAGGTACCTAATTGAGCTAAATTCGCTGTTACCACAAAATTTGGATAAATCAATAGCAAATTTTAGCAAACGGGAAGAAAGAGCTTTCAGGCTTTACATTTTTGTCACAAAATACGACCTATTCAGATTATACAATCAATAAAATAAATAAATCAAATCTTTCTTTCATCAACAAGGTAGGTATAGTTAGATTATATTCGCCTACCTATTAATATTCGAGTAGGAGTCGAGTTATGAACGTTATTTTGTAAAGCCTAACAAGTAACCTATTTTAAAAACGTATATATATATTTGTTGAAAATGGCGGAGGAAATACTACATGACTTAGCCATGAATTATCATGAATAATATTAACTACTTATTTACCTCTCAGTGTCTTCAGGCAACTTAAAAAAGTACATTCTGTGTTTTTATTATTATTTAGGCAGTTAACTAAATACTGTGCAGTATTTAACTTATAAAAAAATTGGTGTACTAGTACACCATTTTCTTTATTTTTTTCCATCATACAAAAGAATACGCGTGCGTGAGTCAATGTTCGCTCGTATGTGAAGCCTTGTCGAATAGTAATCCTGTAGGGGGGCATCGTGCGTGTTTTGTTTTTGATGTAAACTCGCGGAGATAAACAGGCCTGACCATACACAAATTCAAGCCTCTACCAGTATAGTTAACCAATCGTCAAGCATCGGTGCAACCGGTCTCACATCTTAATCCAAAGTTTATGGTACATTTGGCGGCCGGATTCGAATCCGCACCGTGGGCGGACCGCATAGCTCCGACTGAACTATTGACATATAGAACAACTCTTATGTCTGTTACAGGGATGTTATGGATATCCGTAACCGTAACCGAAAGTTTCGGATATCCAAAATAAAAAATATCCGAAACCGTAACCGATTGAAAAGTTTCGGATGTAGGCAGTTTAAATAGTTTTTTGTATAACATTATGTA